GGTTGTGGCGGAGCCACAACCTTGGCACGGTTACCCGGTTTGGGCATCCCACCCTTGCTAGCTGAGAACCCCCTTGCTAGTCAAATATACAAAACTTAGGTGTTGTAGTCTACCTCCGTAATAGCTGAAGCATTCTAGCGGATAAACAAACGGCGAACAACAAGTGCCCCGCAAATGAGGGGAAAAGCCTTATCGTCCACGCACCCTCACTACACGAAAAATTTCACCACCACCACCAGCGGGGGGCAAAAGCTTCCATGCCATAACGCTTTAGAACTGCCCTCGAGTGCGATAGATAAAACTAAAAAAAGACTGAGATGACTTGTGCTCCCCACCAAGCAATCATATGGGATCACTCGATATCCTGCTAGCTATGGCACCGGTAGTGGATTTGCGGTTGCGCGATGGGCACGCTAATCAGTCAAGGGCGAGTCGTGGGGGAAAGTGGAATAATATCGTAAAGTACTCGAGTAGCAGTGTTCGCACCTTATCATTGTTACCCTGTCGACCACCGAGCGAGTGGAACTTCTAATCGGAATAGGAGCGGATCGGATGGTAAAGTACTCGTACAGTAGTGTTGCCCCAAATTTGGATTGGTGGGATTGCGTGCTTGAGCCCTAACTGAGTACTGTACCCTACTCGAATACGGTAATTGGGCCAGGGAAATGCTCGCCATTTCCTGACCTTTGTGGACACCTACTGCTACCGTACTACCGGTACTCGAGTACCGTATACTACCATACCGTTGCGTATCATGCCACGAAAAAAAAATCTTGGGACTCCGGCCTGTTCCCTTGTGCCAATATGCGATAGCAGCCGTCGTCATGAACTCTGGAAAAACTACGAGTACTGTATTGCACGGTAGGAGTAACAACCCCCTTCCAAAGGACAGAGTACAGTACCATAGAGTGCTTTGGCTCTTTGAACGGATTCCAGCACTGTACAAAGTACTGCACCGATACCATAAACAGCGCCCATGCCAACTTTTGTATGATTTCGTCAGAGGGATGATGGATGATGACTGACAGTGCAGTGCGTCCTCCTCGATGATCAGCGCATGGCAGCTTCACGATATCCAGAAACCGTTGCCAAGACGGAAAGCTTACGGTACTGTACTAGTATCATACATACGAGGGTTCCCCGGATTTCGAGATGATAACGTTTTTTTTCCTTTTCACTCTACCGGTACCTCCAATTGGTCCATGGTAGTCGATCGACACACCCGGGGGGGTTCCCTCCAACCACTAATTATAGCAAGATGGGGGACTTATTTTCCTTCCCATGGTACGATTGGAAGGAATATTTAACACTTCTTTTACTACAACTCATTGAAAAGGCCTTCCTTCCTTCCTTCTTTCCCTATCTGTATATTATATAAATCATATATTTTTACATAGGAAGAGAGAAGCTTCAACGAAGCGGAATGGAGGGGAATTGGCAAAATTGCGTTGCTCGGATACGGTACAAGTACGGTACTGTACTGTACTAGTACACATCTTGGATGAAGGCCGCTATTTAACAGCACAGGTATGTGACATCAGTTATAAACAAGGATTCGGTAATGTGAGAACGGGTGGTCGGTGATTCCCTCCCCTCTCCTCTGTTCGCCTGTTCACTCCGCCGGGTTCCCTTGCAGTCACGAGGCCTCAATGGGTACGGAGAGAGAGGGGGGGGAATGAGTGAGCGGGAGTGGGAGCGGTGTGGTCTGGTAGGAGGGCATCTGGGAATGGCTTCGAGGTGTAAGGTTGGATGGGATCACCACTCGGTGGGAAGCAGATTCTGTAGGATACGCGGCCGCCATACGTGAAGAGTCGAATCCGATGGTATGATACACGCAATCTTTACTCGTTCTACCAAGAATTCTCTTCTTTTTAATCACTAGTGCCTCCTGTTTGTCGCCTCCCCCATCTCTCCTCCGCTCTTCCAACCTAGCTACCGGCAATTATCATTACCTTTCACCTCACACTCAAGCCTTTGAATCACTCTTGAATCCTCAATGTTTATTTCACTCTCACTTCTAGTCCATCCCCTCTTAGCTCTTGCAGCGGTCCCTCACCCAATTCTCGACTATCCCCTGCTCAAGAGGAGTCCAGAACCTCGAGAGGATCCGAACGAGATCCAAGGAGTATCACCGCCAGGAAGGTGCGTAACTCCGTGTATCAGTGTTTATACCTCCGCCGGTACTCCCCCCCCTCCCTTCCACTATTACTAAGACCATCTTGGCTAAAATATCCAGCATCTGGCCTTATAACTGAGCCCCCTCAGACCCCTACAAACTCCAGACCCTACGGCTTCGACAGTGACAATCTCTGCAGCGATGATGACTTCATGGAGGAAGCCCCACACTGCATCGACTGCCTTTTCCGCACCAGGAATGAAGTGGACTGGCGTTCTACGCTTCTGAATTCGTATCGGGTGTGTGTGTATGAGCTCGATGCATTGGCATGTCCTCGTAGCTGTGGGCAAGCGGATAAGATGGTGGAGCAATGTCGACAGATAGATGCTAGGGAAATTGTGGATCCGGACCCGGTGGATCATACACTTGACCCGAGGACCCCGCCTTGTGTTTGCCGGCCAAAGAATAGAAAAGCCGTCCTGGATTGTTTTGAATGTATGGTTAACTGGAACGCTCTTCTCGCACAGGATTGGCTCAATTTTATTAAGCCGTGTAACGATTGGAACGACTTTCCTTGGATGTGATAGGTTTGTGATCAAATTCTGCTTTGATGGTTCAGTCGTGGTTGCTGATGGATTTTGTAGGGCTTTGAGACCTAGCGAGTTATTAGCGTAGTGGACGCCCACTGGGTTTGCTGGGAAGGTTGTTTTGGAAGAACTTATTAGAGTTTATCCCTTATATGGCTGGGTTTGAAATTGGTGCTTTGGCTCACATGGAATCACATGAGGGCTTCAACCTTGTTTATTATCCTTTGGTCTATTGAACGCGGGCAAGGAAATACATTAGATTTTCGAAGGGCGAAGTGCAGTGATGCTAGGTTGTAGATCAGATATAGTATTAGGCTGGCTAGGCTGCTAATCCGGGAGTGGGGGGACAGAATCACTCGGTGGCTAGGCCAACAGCATTTCATATAGAGCCTGCCCAGAATTCCAAGGCACCCCCCCCCCCCCCCAAAGCAGCGTTTCCGATGTTAAGTGAACGTATTTTCAATTCCAATGTGTAATCCGTGAATGCGCCAGATAAGGTTCCGTGTCAAAGAAAACAAAAACAAAAAACAACCATCCGTCCCAGTCCCCCTTTCGGCTGGACCTCCAAAGCAAAATATGGGGGAACCTCTCGAATTTGGCAGCGATAAGAAATTTGAACTTTCACTTTTTTTTGATTTAATTGAAACCGATTATTTCACAAGAAGATTACTCCGCCGCCGCAACCGCACGAGCTATGAAATCCGTTAGTATCGATTCCGCATATGCCGGCATCCCTCCCTTCCCCTGAAGGGAGGCCCTCGGGCAGGTGGGTAAAACTCACTGTAAATCGACAACTTCGAGTGGCCGACAACCTTCTTGATTACACCCCTCGCCTCCAAATCTGCCAACGCCTTCCTTGCCAACGAGCCGTTGATCTTTAGGCGGTCGACAAGGACAGCGACGGTGATGAGGCGGTAAGTTTGAACGTCCTTGTTGAGTCTGTCCTGAATGGTCTTGTCGGCGACGACGGCGTGCTGGGCCTTATCCTTGACTATATTCAATCCGCTTGAGCATCCAATCCCCTCGAGTCTAAGAAGAAGAAAAAGAAAAAAAAACAAGAGGGTGAAAGATGTACCCTTTCCCTTGGACCACTTCTTCTTCTGCTTCTTTCCACCTTGGGCTGCTGCGGGGGCCTGATTTCCTTCGTTAGTTTTTGCCTTCCGAGGAGGAGGGGTCATTTTACCATGATTATGTGTTAAATGGGTTCACAAGGCTGGAAGGTTTGGAGTATTGATTTTTGTCGTGTCGCTAGTCCGTGGTCGTCTTGTTTTCTCAGCGTCGTCGTCGGTCGTCGTCGCTGCCGCTGGCTGGAGCTTGGCTTGATTATTTTGCTGCGATGGAGTTTGAGGTGTGGGTTGTTGTCGTGACTGGTAGAACATGAGGGTTTTAACCCCTTCTTCGATTAGATTAGATTAGATTAGATTATATTGGTGGGTTTGCCAAGGGTTTTTAATTAAGTTAGCCACCTGTTGTTGATGATGATGAAGCTGGAACGTTTCGGATCAAACTCCCAGGGCTCCCGCCTTTCTAGCTTAAAGCTCTAGCGTGTGATATGATAAAAAGGTATGATAACTTATGTACCCGGGGGAACACCCTTCCTTGAAGAACGTCACTACCGTATCATACTTATGATAATACCGGTGTTTAGTCTATACGGACAACCAATCCTTGCCGTAACTTGACTCGGTAGTTTCCCATACTGCCATACCTTGTGGGCTTTACAAGTGTATTGCGCCCTACCGGTATCCTGCTGTTACCGCTCATCCTCTCAACACCCCCCCCCCCGACCAGTACGGTACTCGAGCATCATACAATACCAGCGAGCACGGACGTAAAAAAAATGGAAAAAACGCCAGAAGACACGATCCGCAACCGCAAACCGCCCCCAACGGCCCTTCCGACCGGGTTACCCACACACAACGACTACGACGAGAAGAACGACCCCAACATCTCAAGGGGAATCAGCGTCGTCGACATCCTACGCGTGCTCACGGGCGCGCTCCTCCTCAGCGCGATCTTCAGCTGGTTCGTGACGGACGGGGAATCCATCACTTGGGGCTACAAGCCGAGGGCTCTGAGGTGGAATAACCTGAAGAATTTATTTGTACTGCTTATTCCCCCCCCCCTCCCCCTCCTGTTCCCACTGCCAGCTTATCTCTCTATATGCTTTAGTATGGTATCGCTAATTTGATTTCTTGCGGGTTCTTTCAAGAAAACGCCACTGGTGTTGACGGACGAGCAGCTCTCGCGGTACTCCGGTGCGGATCCCGGGTTACCCATTTATATCGCCATCAATGGGAGCGTTTTCGACGTCTCGGCCTCCCCGCAGACGTACGGTCCCGGCGGCTCGTACGGTTTCTTCTCCGGTAAGGATGCGTCTAGGGCCTTCGTGTCTGGGTGCTTCCAGGGTGATCTTACCTGGGATTTGAGGGGGCTGGAGGAGATGTACATCACTGGGGACGTTAGAGAGCTGGATGATAAGGAGCTTAACGAGATCTCGAGATTGGAGAGCACTGGTGAGAATGATAGCCGGGTCAGGTACTTGAAGAAGCGGAGGAATAAGCGTAGGAAGGAGGCGTGGGAGAAGGTTGAGGAGGGCATCGCCCATTGGGAAAACTTCTTCAGGAACCACGAAAAATACTTTTATGTTGGCAAGGTTGTGCACCCCGATTTGAGTGGGACGCCTATCAGAGAGCTTTGTAAGGGTGATAAGAAGCCATAGGTTCATGGGTGGGTTGGAACGGTTGGGTCGCTGGGTGGCGAAACTTTTTCTCATCCTATTTATTTAATGTTTGCGTTTGGCACGGGTTCGAAATCATGGAATAACAACGATACTTTCATTCCGTTTGCCACATCGAGGGAAGCAAAATAGCAGAACGCGGGTATCACATTTGAATTTTTGAAATGCGAATACAAAGACAATTAACTAGCATAAACACGTTCCCCGAAAGCGTAACCTTCATTACAATGGAATAATAATTTGCGCCACAAACACCCCCTGGTCCCTTAGACAGATCATTGGCGGAGAAAATTGCATAAGCTAACCAGAGCACATCATGCACTCCTCCTTGTTTTCAATACTACAGCTGAGAACGGCGTCTGCGTAGATGTCCCCTTCGCGCTTCTCACTGATACGCTGGCTGTCTTCATCCTGAGGTTTCTTCTTTTCCAATTCCTCAATCTCGTCGGCCGCGGTGGGAGGTTCAGTATCAAGCAACTTGGGAGAAGGTTCAGACTTAACGCGGGGCGTAACAGCTGATGCAACAATGCCATTAGACGACGATTTTAGAGTGCTTGGACCGGGCGGAGAAACGGGAGAGGTGGAAGCACCCAACGGGCGAGGGATGGCAGTCGTGGAAGAGTAGCCAGTGTTCGGGAGACGCTTCTTGTTAGGAAGAGCACGCGCCACATTTGTATCGGCGACTTTGAGCGCTTCCTGATCAACGGTAAATTGCTAGGGACGAAAGTTAGCATAATATCTCAGAGTCCTCGCAGAAGAGAATATCGAAGCGAAACGGAATGGCAACGAAAACGGGCAGAACCGGGCCTAATGCAACAAGAAAGCAAATGATAGAGAACATGAATGATAGGGAACATGCAAACCGCCTGACATAAAGACAGCCGGGAAAAAAAAAGTGAAGTATGAACCCATCAGTCATGAATCCCCCAACCATATTATGTACATTGGACTATTAGTGCAGCAGGTTTCTTAATCCACCACAAACAACAAACCAACGTTACATTTATCCCTTCATTTATGGGGGGGCTTTGACCATCCATAAGGAGCTAGGGGGCTACTCACAATTGCAGCCGCAGCCGCCTGAGTTCGAAGATAGTACATCCCAGTCTTCAATCCCAATCTCCAACCGTAAAAGTGCATGGAAGTCAGTTTCCCCATAGTGGGGTTCTGAATATGGATATTGAGAGATTGTGATTGATCGATAAAGGCACCACCTATAGAATCATTTGATTAGCATCTTCTGGGAGGTAGTTTCATGGCCCTAACATACGGTCGGCAGCCATCTATAAAACCAGTTAGTTAAACCCAATATGCCGGTACCCGGGACCAAGAACATACCTCAATAACCTTCTTCTGGGAAATTTCCCAAACAGTCTTGTAAAGGGCTTTGATATCGTCCGGAATGTTCGGGATATTCTGAATACTGCCATTCTCGGAAATGATACGATTTTTCATGTTATCGCTCCACAATCCCATATCAACGAGATCCTTCAACAACCAAGGATTGACAATTTGGAACTCGCCGGCCAAAACACGACGCGAATAAATGTTTGAGGTATAAGGCTCGAAACACTCGTTGAATCCCAAGATCTGGGAGGTTGAGGCAGTGGGCATGGGAGCCACGAGAAGAGAATTGCGGAGACCGTGCTTTTTCACCTTCTCCTTCAACTCATCCCAGTCCCACAAGTCGGTGGGAGTGACACCCCAGAGATCATACTGAAGCTGGCCCTTCGAAGCAGGAGAACCTTCATAGGTGGAGTAGGGGCCCTGGATCGCAGCCAACTCGGTAGAAGCTTCAACGGCAGCATGGTAAATGGTCTCGAAAATCTGAGTGTTGAGTTGCTTCGCCTGAGGTGATTCGAATGGCATACGGAGGGCCAAGAAAGCGTCGGCAAGGCCTGCGTTTATCAAGTCAGTGGTTGCCTGTTAAAAGAGAAATGGTGACAGAAGGCAAACCTTGAACACCAACACCAACGGGTCTATGCCTCGTATTGCTTTTCCTAGCTTCAGGGACAGGGTAAAAGTTGACATCGATGATCTTGTTGAGGTTTTTGATGACAACCTTGGTCACCTCGTGCAACTTGGCGAAATCGTACTCACCCCTCTGAAGATCGACATATGTAGGCAAGGCCAATGAAGCCAGGTTGCAAACGGCGACCTCATCAGGGGCACTATACTCCACAATCTCCGTGCAGAGATTGGAGGATCTAATGGTTCCCAAGTTCTGTTGGTTGGATTTGCGGTTACATGCGTCCTTGTAGAGCATGAAAGGATTGCCAGTTTCGGTTTGGGCCTCGAGAATGTGGTACCAGAGTTTTTGCGCCTTGATGGTCTTGCGAGCAAGGTCTTTGGTATTCTCATATTTGTTATAGAGAGTCTCAAACTCCTCACCCCAAACATCGGCCAAACCTGGGGCTTCATTAGGACAAAAGAGGCTCCACTCGGCATTTGCCTCGACTCTCTTCATAAATAGATCAGGGATCCAAAGAGCATAGAACAAATCTCTTGCACGAACCTACGGAGAAAATTAGTGACCCCCTGCGACACCCTAACCTATTGAATATCTGCTAACCTCTTCCTTGCCATGGTTCTTTCTCAAGTCGATGAAATCGAATATATCCGCGTGCCACGGCTCCATGTAGATAGCGAAGGCCCCGGGCCTCTTGTTACCTCCCTGGTCAACATACCTGGCAGTATGGTTGAACACTCTTAACATTGGCACGATACCATTGGAACTACCATTGGTGCCAGCAATGTAGGAGCCAGTAGCACGAATGCAGTGGATGTTGAGCCCAATGCCACCGGCAGTTTTTGAAATCATGGCACAGGTCTTGAGAGTGTCGTAAATGCCATCAATTGAGTCACCTTTCATGCTAACCAGGAAACAGGACGAAAGTTGAGGCGATGGTGTGCCTGCATTGAAGAGGGTAGGCGAAGCGTGGGTAAAATGCTTTGAAGATGTGAGGTTATACGTCTCGAGAACCTTGTCGACATCCTCCCCATGAATCCCGACAGCCACGCGCATAAGCATGTGCTGAGGACGCTCAGCAACTTTTCCATTGATCCGAAGAAGGTATGAACGCTCCAAAGTTTTGAAGCCGAAGTAATTGTAGTTGAAGTCCTTATCGTAGATAATGGCGGAATCCAATTCAGACGCATGGCGCATGACGGTCTCGTAAGTTTCAGTCGAAATCATTGAGGCAGGCCGGCCGTTTTTCTTGAAAAATATTAGCTCACATTGGCAACTTGATCAAATTTGAGAGTAAGATGCAACTCACAGGGTTAACATAGTGATACAAATCGCTAATGACCTGAGAAAACTGCTTCTTCGTTTGCTTATGAAGATTGCTGACAGCGATTCTAGCTGCAAGAATGGCGTAGTCTGGGTGAGTGACAGTCATATATGCAGCGGTTTCCGCTGCCTTGAAATTTATTAGACAACCCAGGGCTAGGAGCCAAAATACCAAAACTTACCAGATTGTCTAGCTCGATAGTAGTAACGCCCTGGTAAACTCCAGAAATGACCTTCTGGGTAATGGTGGCTGCATCTACATGTTCACTATCAAGGCCGTAGCAGAGACGGGAAACACGAGCAGTAATCTTGTCAAACTGGACGCGCTCCTTACGGTTGTCTAGGTTGTTTTGTTAATTGTCAGCAAAACCCCAAACAACGAGGTTGAAAAATTGCGGAGAACAAATACAGGGCGCCTTAAAGACAATCCAGAACGAATGAAAGAAATAGGTATCAACTTGCCTCGTTTCACAACATACATCTCGAAGTTTGTGTAAAATGAACGTCGGTAGAGGAAGAATTAATGCGGGGTATCAAGGCAATTAACAATGATGAAGGATTCGCAATGCAGAAAAAATTTGGAGGAGGGGGATGGGAGGAGAATTGGGATGTTGTGGTGGAGGAGGGGTGGAAAGGAGGGAGGAGGGGTGGAAAGGAGGGAGAAGGAGGAAGCATAGCACCTTGCGTCCTAGTTTTTTCTACAACGCGTCGGCGGGGTTAGGGTTACCCACTTTACGCGAGATTTGTCAGGCAAACCTCGTAAACATTTGAAATCACGTGGAGACGCGATGCTGTCCCTTCCAATTTAGCCCCACGTCTCCTCATGCATGTCATAACATTCCCTAAACAAAATTGACTGTGCGCAGGCGCGGTATGAGCTATTCACATTTCTCCAAACTACCAATCTCAGCCATTATACCAATTAGGATCGGACGCATGTTGACAGAGCCCTACGGGTGCCAGGACCTTTGACGTGTGCCCCGCCGTGGTACGCATTTTGTTCTACGGCGGACACCATTTAGAGGTTACGGAAGGTTTTCATGAGAGGACACCAGGTTGTACGACAAGTTCCCGGGATCCGTGGAGGATTTGGTTATTCCGAGACAGGTCGCAATCTTTCGCAGATATTAAATAATTGTTTTAACTAGGATAGTGACCCAATCCGTCCTCTTAGGGATCAGGATACCAATTTTTAGCAATCCCTCACCCGAATCTCGGTGGATTCCCGTTTCTTAAATGGTATACCGGTACCCTGCTCCGGCATGATTGGACATAAAAGTACACCAAAGCCTAGATCACTATTTCCGAGAGAGGATAGAGGATAGAATTTCGCTAAGGGTCCCCCTCGTGGAGTCCCTCCACAAGTCCCTCCAGCTCCTCAACTTCACCTAGCCCCTTCCTCGCAACATTTTCCTCAGAACCACCGCCAACAACCTCACCCTTGGCGTTCAACCGTAATCCCCTAGAGGATTCCATATGTCTCCTGGTCATCTTCTCGATGTACTTCTTCCTCTCCTCCTCGGGCGTGCCCTTCTCCTCCCTTCCTTCAACCTCCTCGTCAACATCCATCTTATCACCCGAGGCCTCTTGCTGCTCCTTCCGCCGCTGCAGCTCGGCATATTTAGGCTTTAACTGGGCTATGAGGGAGCGTATGAGCCCAATTTGAGATACAGCGAACGAAGCAGTATCCTTAAGCTCTTTCGTAGACATCGAAGACAAGTTAATGAAGGAGAACGGGTTCTTATTGTCTGAGGAGCTGGCAAGGGCACGCAGCTGCGCGAGGGTTCGCTCGTTGGAGCTTACTTCTGACTGGAGTGTTTGGTTCAGGGCATGCGAGGCCAGAAGTGTTTGACGGAGGGTGCGAAGTCGAGATTGGGCTTCGTGGGCCGGCGGAAGTGCGGGCGCGTCCGCTGTTGGCTCAGATGAATCGGGATCTGTGGGTACTGAAGGGGTGATAGATGTGAAGTCAAGGTTCTAGAATTGTTAGTACGCTTTTGGTGCACGATAGGGTCCTGACGCGAGAACAATTCAGCAAACTGACCTTATGGTGTGCGAGCCTGACCCATCCCACGAGGTCCTGCGGAACAACCAAGATGTTTCTCAGCACATACAGCTCGAATGCGTCGAACCTCTTATCCACGCCATTCTCAAGTAGGGTTTCCAATTGATGTATCCCTTTATTTATTTCCTCCTCTTCCTTCTCGGAATAGATTACGTTTCCATCACCATCCGTGTCCGGAATCGTGCCGGGTGGCGGGGTAAAACCCAGCAGCCCAGGCGGGGATGAAAGGAGAAAGGTTTCGACGGCGGACACGGATTGGTACAGTAGGGCGTTCACAGTATTTATTATGTCATCTATGAGAGACTTATCGATCTTAGCTTGGCACAGACCTCAACAGGTGTGGGGGGCAAGCTTACAAGAGGAGTCCAGCGGAGGTGTTCTGTCAGGAGAGAAGTAGAGGCGGAATTCATGGCGGTATCGTGGATCCGTTATCAAGAAGACAGGGAATCTGTGGCACACCTCACAGCAGCACTCGCCAGGATCCAGCTTGCCTCGAGGCTAGAGATGCACTGTGGCAGTGTAGTCGAGCTTGTCAAGAGAGGTTGTGGACTGAGGGGGTTGTCGACGCGTTGGTTGCCAGCGGCAACGGCGATGACTTTGAGATTTGAGATGGTCGAGATCTGATCCGGAATCGTCATGTTCCGGGTTACCATGCACATTACTGCATCAACAAGATGCACCCAACGACCCAACCGAGTTGACGTTCCTCGCAATACTCGCAGCGACTGTTCTTTGCGGAGATCAACTCCCCTTCGGTCCCCGATTCTCTTGACATGCACCGTGCGTGAAACTGTCCCAGTGCTGGTATCGTACGGTACTGTAGGCTGTTTTAGGGCTCGCAGATAGGGTGGAGTTCCGAGAGACCGATCCCGAAAGTGAGCCTTCCACATGTTTATCAATTCGCGCACTCAGAGTAGATGGTACACAATGTTCGCAATTTGATAGTAATCCATCATATATATTATGAATATCATGAATACTGCGATATGTGGACTACGGTAGGGGGAAACATTCTTCCGGCCCGAAGCAGAAGGGTCAGCCGGGGGATAGCATACATATATAGAATGGAGTCTTCTGGACATGCAAGAGGGCGAGGGCGACATCCGTGATGGATCCGAGGAAGGAGCCAACTTTAAACCAGAGGGATCTACCGGTATGATACGATGCGAGTATATTGAGCCCTAATAGCCCAGCACTCTATTTCGGTCCTCTCATCTACCGTACAATGGTACCTGTAGTCCTAAGTCCCAGTCCCCTTGTGCCCAGAGCATTGAATCGGTTATGTATGTTACGCTAGAGAGGCAGCCACAGCGCAGTATGATACTGGAGGACCGGTAGTTGTGCAGGTCTGTAAAACCTGGCCCTCCGGAAATTCACAAAGCATAAAGTTTGAGAAGATATTTGCCTGTCAATGCTCGAGCCTCGCATGATACTTGTACCAGCACAAGGAAACACAGCCTTAATCAGAGTGAGGGGGAAATACCGGTAAGAGGGAAGGGTGCTGTAACCAGCTTAGTAAATCGTGAGGAAAATTTTCCCAGTAGCGCCGATTCACCTGTGGTCATACCGTAGCATCGCACTGGCCCACCCGGAGTGGAATGGTGTCTGTGTGACGGCGTCATGTCACACCTCCTGACACCCGTACTACTTGTTGGCGGGACAAGAGGGGAAGGAGAAGAGAAGAAAAAAGAAAAGGAATCAGACATCTGCCGACGGCTCTTTCTTGCTGGTTCACACAAAGGCGCAAGCAAGGCCCGTCAGTTTGGTCATCCCGCCATCCCCGTTTCCAACTATCGCTGGTGGTGAGGAAAACTTCGCTACTCGTCCCAGGGGATAACAACACGAAACGAAGCCTGGTCCCTCCCTGAAAGCTGGAATTTGACGCAACACTACATACGACCGCTGGTAGCCCCAACCCAGCAGCACCACCCACCACAGACGAACATCCACCACATTCACCACCACCAACCATAACCACACCGGCTGAGTGAGGTGCGAGGCTGGGATTGAGCCATTTATCGTTGCATCCACGGCTCATTGATTCGCGGTGGCCATACCTTAGGGGATATACAATATCAAACTTGTGAGTAAGCGGTTCCTGAGATAAGGAAGAAGGGGTCTATTGGAGTGAGAGGGCGGGGCGAGGGTGAGGGCGAGAGAGCACGCATCCTTACGGCAGTTGGACAGAGGAACAGGAGGATTGAGGGGTGCATATCGTACCAGGGACAGCAGGAAGTAAGGTGACGGTGAGGGTGGAATAGAGAGACATTCAAGGGATACCATTGCCTCTGTCGCACCCTTCCCGTCCTTTCTGCCCCGAAGAGACTTTGAAAGGTCTGAGATCACCATGGTAATATGGACTCTCATCGCTGTAGCACCCCTTGGATGAATTCCCCTTCCACCCTCCTTTCCTTTCGCTTCCGTCCCCCTCGGGCGGTTCTCTCTTGGGCTTGAGCGGGCCTAATCCCGGTCCTTTTATTGATAGTTTCTTCTCGCATGATATTTACGGTTGTTTCAGTTCTTTTTTTTTTTTTTTTTTTTTTTAATCTCTCTTTTCCTTTCACTTGCACATCCTGTTTGTTTCTTCCTCCCATCGCATCGGGCTCATCTGCTTTGTGAGCCGTTCATCTCTGTCTGTCTCTGCCTCCGGTGCTGGTTACTGGTCGGAAAGGGATCGCTATACACAGCAGATCTGCCTCGTCATAGCATCCGCTTCGGAGTAGGCACCACCACTAGCCCGCAAGGACTACGAACCAGGAACCAGGCTTCCGCGTCCGAGCTGGAGTAGCCGCATCCAATTTTGCAGCCTCGTTGGAATCTAAACCAAGGATCCGGGTTACTGCGGACGCCAGCACTGTGGTTTGGGTCGGTTGTTGGCCTCCCTCACCGCTCTGCTACATCCCACTGCGTTTGGCTGCATAATAGTCCCCTCTTCTCTGCGCGGTACAGAGGGGAAAAAAGGAAAAAAAGGAAAATCTTTCAGCAATTGCCCCGCTTCAGAAACGGACCCCTTGATCTGGATTCGTCTCGAGGTCCGTCATATACCCTTCGGTGTCCCTTTCCTCGTCGCACTTGTCGCCAGTGCCAGTGTCGTGCTTCACCCTGGGGCTAAGGGCCAGACAGAGACATTGACTTTTTCCTTCTTTTGTTTCGTTAAATTTTTACCCTCGCATTGGGTTGCAGACTGTCCATATGCCACTCTCTTCGAGCTCTTCCTCCTCTTCTGAGCAATTTTCCTGCCGTCCTCCGCCCACTCCACCCTATAATCCTATCCCAATTAATTCGAAGATGGATTGCTCAGCCTCTTCGCAATCGACCAAGAAGAACTCTTACTCACTAGAACGCTTTTTACAGGAACCTGCCTCTCCTTCTCCACGCACCGCACATAAGTCAGGTTACCGTCCACATAGCTCGATGTCACGTTCACAGGCATTACAAAGCCCAACTTCTAGCGTGGGAACGTATCCCGGCTTGGGCCAGGCGAGCAACAGGAGGCCTAGGTTGCTTTTGATGGGACAGCGGAGGTCTGCTTACTCTGCTTTCCTTTCAATTGACTGTATTGCCGATTGGGGTCTTGAAATGAGTGGATTCGTGGGTGCGGATTGGCTTACCTTTTCCATATAGGAGCGGGAAATCATCGATTAGCTCGGTGGTGTTCCACAAAATGCCACCTACCGAGACGCTGTTTCTTGAGTCCACAACTCGAATCCAAAAGGACCCGATCCAGTTAGTGCCAATATTCGTTCTAGAACGAGGCTTCATTGCTAATATTTGGCTTCTGCATAGCTCTTTTATGGATTTTCAAGTTTGGGATTTTCCTGGCCAACTCAATTTCCTGGACCCAACCTTCGACTTTGATCACATTTTTGGCGAACTCGGCGCTTTGATCTGGGTCATTGATGCTCAAGATGAGTATCTAGAACCCCTTTCCAATTTGCACACGACAATCATAGCCATCCAGCGTTTCTACCCAGCCATCAACATTGAAGTCTTTGTCCACAAGGTTGATGGACTATCAGATGAATACAAACTTGACACCCAACGTGATATCATGCAGCGAACCCAGGACGAGCTTTCTGATAATGGACTTGATAATGTGCAGGTCTCTTATCACCTGACTTCGATCTACGATCACTCAATATTCGAGGCATTCTCCAAGGTTATTCAGAAGCTGATTCCACAGCTGGGAACTTTGGAGAATCTGTTGAATGTCCTTTGCTCAAATTCTGGAATTGAGAAGGCATTTTTGTTTGATGTTCTGAGCAAGATATACATCGCGACAGATAGCAGCCCCGTCGATATGCAGAGCTACGAGATCTGTAGCGATTATATAGACGTGATTGTTGATGTGTCCGAGATTTATGGGTATGCAGTCGACCCGTTAGCCGCATTAAATATGCCGGCTGCTAACCCCTGATCATTAGATACGACCGCAAGCCTCAGGGCCAAGTCTCTTCCCCGACCTCGGAGGCCCCAAGCGAAACGCAGCAAGAGGAAGAAGAAGCAACGCTGGAGGCGAGCAGCATAATTAGGCTGCAAAATGGGATGGTTCTTTATCTTCGGGAAATCAATAAGTCATTGCCCTTGCCCCTGTGTCTCCTTTATTTCACCTCGATGGATTCGCGTGATACCTGCCCTCCAGACTTCCCTGCCAACTGCCCGCAATTACAGTTCATGGGCTAATATGTTTTTCCGATCGAATAGGTACCTCGCCCTGATCTGTCTGATGCGTAAGGACAGCATTGAGAGACAGGGATTGGTCGATTTCAATGTTCAGGTGTTCCAAAATGCCTTACAGCGGGTATTCGAGGTCGGGAGGTAGTCTAATTCTTACATGCTGGCTGACTAACTCCCTTTCGTCTATTTGTTTCTAAAACTCCCGTTCCTCATTTCTACACTTTTATTTCTCATCAGCATCGCTATGGGTTTCCCTTTTCTACTCACCCCCTTCACCTCTCTTCTCCCTCTTTGTTATTTCTTTCTTTCTCTTGGTGATAACGACGCAGGCGCCAGGCGATAGATGGGAATTCTCTCGTTTCATATCCTGCTTTGTCTGAATTTCAAATTATCTATCGCGTGCACGATCTTGCATACGAGGAGTTTTGTTATCGGGGTGTTTTTTCTTCTGCTATGGTATTCATTCTTACTTCTCGCCACGGTAATAGTAATGGTATTGAATTGTGGGAGGGGGGGGTATTACACATATCGTCATCACTGTCATGAACCTATAGCCCCCCTAATAACGTGCCTAAAACCTAAGATAATATATGTCGGATAAGTCACTCTGCGACTTCGTGACTGAACTTGCGGCATGGAAACAATTTGCAGTATTGTACCGGTATGTGGTTTTGTGCGAGCAGAATGTGGATTAATCAATAAATAAACATAACCGAGAGCACGTGGCTATGCAATGTAATCTATGCAAGGGCGCTTTTTTTTTTCGTTTTTTTAAAAAGGGGCATGGTGTAATAATTATATAATACCAGATTCCGCAGGTAAAACCGGGTATTAAATGGGCTCCAAGATCGAGAAGTTGCGATGGTTGTCATAGGGTATCACTCGGGTTCTGTGACCTCTGTCGATCCTCAAGACTGTTTCAACTTCTACCGGGGGGAAGCAGCCACAACCAAGAGGGAAGCTCTAGACTCTAGTGTACTCGAGTACTCATACAATATTGTGATTAGCACCTCGGGCCATGATACGTCTCTCCCCTCCTATTGCGGGTAGGCGCGGCTGGTTTGCGTGCAGCGCCTGCCGAGTCCCGGGCTGGGAGTGTTTGCTTGCTGCTGGGATTGCGATGATTTACGATACTGTACACTCGCATCCCGGATGGTCCAAAATCCCGAGAATCAATCAATCAGTCCGGGACAGCGAGTAAGTTTGTTATTCGCTGCTCTTGCTGACGGCCAAGGGTAAGGACATTTTTTATCCCGATAGCATCTTTGCGCGTTTTCCCCCATGCGATCCCCTGTGTGTCGGCCGTGTTTGTTTGTTCCTTGTACAGTACGACATGGGTGGTCTGACTGACGGGCTTTTACTGTAAATTGCGGTGGGTAGGTTAGTATATTCCCGACGTACGAGTACTAGTACAGTGTCGTATGTATGATGGTGTTGGAGCTGTGTCGTCGTGGGCTTGTGCCGTACCGTGCTCTACAGTTGGGGTCTTGAGGATACTGTGCTCATGCATGATCACTCGTTTGTGCTTATGGGTGGCCTGTGCTGAGAGTGTGTTCGGGGGGGGTGGCCTGGATTATGATATCATACAGCGTTTCGGGATCTCTGCTTCTGAGAAGGGGGGTTTCTTTTTTTTAATGTATAGGGAGAAAGGGGGGGGGGGGGGTTAACCTCCGTTCATTATGTTCGGAAACTTGATCGGTCGTGAACCGTCCCGTCATTCACCGGGTTAGTTCGTAGCTGATTATACGGGGGTTTCTCTTTCACTGTGTGATATGCTGGAAATGAAGAGTATGAATACCGTTGCGGAGGGAGAGAGAGAGAGAGAGAGTCTACGCGTATATAAGGGGTTTTCAGGAGCCTGGAACGGGTAAGGGGAATGCTCTTCGATGGGCGGACCGGAAGCCGGAGAGGGTAAGGGGGTGAGGGTCTAGGAAAAATTTCGGAGCGAGAGGTTAGACATTATTACTCACTTATTAAGTGGGGGGGGATTTGGTGGATCTAGTTGGAATTGCTGTAACTTAGTGCTTAATGGATGACGGAGGGGTTTTTTCTTTTTCTTTCTCTTTTTACAGTACTAGCATCGAGCCTATTTGAATGGAGCTGGTGTTGAGCTCCTTCTGGGATTTTCTGGTTTTTTTTTGGGGGGGGGGGGCTGGCGCTATCTAGCATGAGGGGTGATGAGACTTATTGTCATCCAAGAAGGCGGGTTATGATAGAACGTCCGTGTGTCGGCGCTGTTCCGAGTGTGATACATATTCCGGGGAGCGCCAAGGGCCTGGTATGGGGGTGGACGGTCTCTGGTATGATATGATATCGTGAGTATCATACATATAATAGTGCGTGCTGGGCGGTGGTACAAGTATCCCGGAGTGACCGCCTCTGGGTATGGCAACGGGCCCCTCGGGTGGGTATAGTGGAGGCAAGGGTAGGACTGGGCTACGGGAAGGGGTGACTGGTTATGGTATGAATATGATACAAGTGCTGGGGGCTGCAGGTGAGTACGAGTGATGTTTCGTGCCAATCGGTTTAGTTCTCCCTATATCCATCCCGAGGACTGAATACACGAGTTGAATGAGTTTGCCGATGTACTATAGAAAATAACAAAGTTTAAATTACCAGCACTCCTTCATTGGTGCGTTGCGCAACCCAAGGAAGCATCACTAGGGCACTAATCGTATCTATTGAGAGAGTCAAGATATGTGAAGCCCAAGTTGGGTGGGTTTACTACCACAATACATGTCCCGGGCGGTGGGTGGGGTGGGATGCCGTATGAAAGGTGTAAGGTGTAAAGTGGGGAAGGAAAGTAATGGAAAGATGGGAACAGCTATAAAGGAAAATTCTTCCGGCACTAGCGAGCTCTAGTGCGTAATTCCACGCATGTCCATGCCTACCCAACGTTTTATGATAGTGTGTAGTAGTCTAGGTATGTCCAACGTGCCCAAATGCCGGTGCAGGAAGCGAGGGGTTGATAAGAGTTTCTTTCGTATATTGCTCTTTCCATATAGACTAGATAGTACAAGTCTTTTGCTTGTATACCCTAAGTTAGTTTCGATGGATCGTGAATAATTTCCTGAGGGGATTGAACGTACAAGGGCTCTATAATCGAATTTGTTTCCTGCCTCCTACTGTATAGTCTGTGTCATCCCTCCGAGTTCTGGCTCTTTCACTGAATTCGTATCTCCATCTACCACCAGTCTATCGGTTACTGCCTCGAGGTTGCGTTGCTCTGGCAAAGGCGCGGATTCCGCAGCATTTCTGTGGCTTGACGATACGTATTCCGTTAGGATTTCGCAAACCTTTGGAGGGTACGTGCTAATAGACGACCTCACGGAACGACCTTTATAGTCCGCTATGTCGATGTTGACATCTTTCTGCGCGAGGAGCAACTGCACAATCTCATGGTAACCATTTTTGGTGGCGTGATGCAATGGCGTCTTCCCCCGACTGCTCTTCCTATTAATGTTGATCCGGCCCGTTCCCAACAAGAGGCGAACCGAGACTATGATGCCTTTTGCAACTGCAATATGTAACGGCCCGGCATTATCGGGGGGGCCCGGGTCGATGTCCAGTTTCTTGTGTGCGAGGAAACATTTCAGGATTTCCTCGTTGCCGATCCGTGCGGCCAAGTATATCGGCCCTCGGCTCCTCTCATCAAGCGCATTGGGATCGATTCTGTCATCATCCAGCAAAAGGCGCACAACCGACGCTGAGTTCGTCCTGATTGCGGAAAACAGGGGGGTCCATCCAAAGGTACCCCTTAAATTGAGTACCCTAGAACTTTGCAGTAGGGGCCACGCAATACATGGTCCCGCTTTTGATGGCGCTTCGGAAAATTTATCCCGCGCATTGATGTCGATCCCGCGGGCTTGGAGCAGCATTCGCGCCATCTCCTCGTGCCCGCCCAGAGCCGCAATGTGCAAAGGCGTGCACCCCGAATTGTCCCGCGAATTGACATCGACACCGTGATCGATGAGTATCTGTGCTATTTCTTCGTAACCACGGTCTGCCGCGTTCGTTAACGGCGTGCGGCCGTAGCGGTCCCTCGTTTCTGCGCTGACGCCACATTCGAGCAGTGTCTGCACCATGGCTTCGCTGCGCCTTCCTACGGCATAGTTGAGTAGGGTATCCCTGTTTTGGACGTTTTCGAGGATCCCTCTGTCTAGGAGATCTTGCACCACCTGCTTGTTTCTGCCCCTTGCTGCTAAATAGAGTGCCTTTGTAGCATAAATCTTGGGACATTTGCGGCATACGCTGTCTATTAGCGGGAAGTAGAGAAGGGCTGCGAGGCGGTGGCTTGACTTTAGGAGCGAACACAGGTCCGATGGGTTCAGATCGTTTGCGGTTTTGAGGATAAGCTCGTTTGGCAAGTTGAGAAAAGACATGTTGGCAGACGTTGAGGTATGATAAGAGGTGGGGTTGAGGTTGATTAGCCAAGCGCTCAGTGTGCGGTTTGTCGTTGTTGGGAAGCCACGTGCTTATGGAAAAGGGATTTTTTTCTTTTTCTTGGTAAAGTTCTAGGCTCACTATGTGGCTCACTAGGAAGTCTGTTCATCTTCACCATTGCTCCGGCCCTGATCGAACAAGGGGTTTATGGAAAATGGCATACTTTCAGGGTCCCACTTTATAATCTTGGCTGGCGCATCCTTTGTGTGATTTTGTGTAACCTTCCTTCCCCACCGTACATTCACACGATGTCACTCGCACCATCCTGCTCTATCAGCTCGGGTCTCGAGTCTACACACTCCAGGAGCGGGAGTTTTGTTTTATTGGACGGGCCGACATGCCCTAATAGTCACCTTCAGATCTGAGGACTCTCGGCGATGAGGAGCTGCGGGCGGCTTCACACCGCCCTTGTAGTTCTGTGGTACGATCCCTTGGTTGGACACCTATTCAACTTATTATGGTCTAACCATTTAGTGCCATCTACGATACCGGAATGCGGTGGCATATACTGCTGTTCGTAAATCTCCCCCCATTTCCTGGGCACCCTTATATGTTCTTAACGGGGTACTACGTACAGCACCTTAAACATCTCAAATACTCCCTAGTACTCGGACAGTACTGTACAGTACACTTACGGTTCCCAAGGGTTTCCACCACTGTCAGCCAGAAACATCGCCCAACAACACAAGAGAGACAAGACCATCCGAGCCCATGATCGGTCCGTCCGGGATCCCCAGAAAACACCCTACTCTTCTCCACAGCAGTTCCCACATTCCCTCGATGGTATGATAAACTTAACTATCGGGACAAGAGGCCTGGTGGAAGCTTCCACGGCAAAATCCGTCCTTCAAAGTGGAGATGTTGGCACCTTATCTGTCCAGATCCTAATTTTTATCCCCGCTATCCTGTTCCTTTTGGCCGCTCGGATGCGCTTGGGCTGCGTGCCCAAATGTAAGGCTCTCGGGAGGCTTTCTATATTCCAAGATTGTGTCGCCCGTGGAATCGCTTTACCCTCACCCAATTGTATCGCTACCTCGGCTAGGAGCTTCCGAGCATCTTCGGTCACTCTGCTGCCGTCTGTATGTACCGTGGGGGGATTGTGGGGGGGGGGACCACGAATGGTTTCGATTTACCATAGACTATCGCGTAAGAGAGGTCTCAGTCACTTTATCTTTCCCGCTCCAAGATTTTGCGGTGTGTAGTACTGTACTCGTACAGTCGTACTCGTGCAGGTACTATTGGTATCCGTTCTATCACCTGCCTAGCTCAGAAGTTAACCCAAGTTTTCAGCCCCTCTTCTCGCTAAAAAAGAGAATCAGGATGAGCAAAAACTGTCATTATTTATCCACAGCTCCGGACAAAGAAAAAGCAAAGGGACAAAAAAAGAAAGTCAAAGCCGGGCCGCGAAAGCGCCACAAGCCAGCCAGCCAGCCAGCCGCCCAACCGCAAGTCGCTAGAAATTTCCCTTTAGCAATTAAGTACTAGTACACCTGAGTGAGTGCAAGTACTAGTACTGTACTGCAGCTGCCTGAAAGCATCACTTCTGGTGGACTCCGTTCTGAAAAACAAAGAAACGGGAGTACAGTACTTGAATGGGTGAGTAGGTGAAAGAGGGATGACAAAGTAGTCTATAGCTAGTACTAGAGCCTAAACAGGAATTCTTGTCTTTTACTCCGACATAAACACGAAAGATAATCAGCCAGTATCTGGGTTGGTCACCTCGGGAATAACTTGCCTCCAGAACCATCAACTGGAATTCCCGGCGCCAAAAAGCCTCCAGAATGCTCACCCGCTTCACAATTCCCTACCATATTCCGTCGGTAACCGAGTTACAAAGCTAAAATTGACGTATTCTGCCTGCGCAAACCACGACAGCTAAGATAGAACATCGCACAAGGGTGGGGGGCGGGGAGTCTTGCCAGTGAGAGGACTGTGATAAAACTTGCACTATGATACCATACCCGTGTATGATACAGCGAAAAGCTTAAACTCGAACTATCCCGCGTACAGAAGGATACGAGAGATTGCTGGTATAATCTAGCCACTTCTTTATACACCCTACAAGTAACTGTTAGATGGTGAGCGTACTGTACTGCACTGTACTCCACCCCGGTACGAGATGATGATCATCCATTCCATCCGGAACGTAACCCCACACACTACCAACCGACACGCAACTCATCGTATGAATCCTCAAACCCGTACCGCACCGCTACAACCCTCCACCAAAGAAACGGTTCCAGCGACTGAACCAACCAACCAACTCGCCAACGCAGGGTAGAATGCCGGTATCCCTACTCTTGCTACCGTGCTAAAGAGCCTTTCCGGTGGGGGGAAGGGGGGAAGGGGGAGGGGAAATGGTAACATATCTGATAAGACCCACTGTACAGTAGTAGTATTATACACAAATACCAACCGCCCATCTCTCCACAACGCCGATAACACACGTGACATGTATGGTAGCTGCGATACCAAGCGGGGCATACGTATATCCCGTGGCGGGAAATGTAACGTGTAGATCAAGTACCAGCACGTTTCACATAAATGGAAGATGGGTGACGGTGAATAACAGTCTCGTGATAATATCATACCATGGCAAGTCCAAGAATTTTCTTCTCCTCCCGCGAGTTTCCGCCAACGGTCTATGAAATACCTGTACAGTACGAGTACGCCTCTGGGGAAACGTCGGTTGCCGGCTTGACTTATACATGCTCTGCACATTTTAGAAAAGAAAAAAAAAAACGCTCGAGTGATTGGTTGTGACCGGCTGGATATGGATAAGCGCCTGTATACCCCTATGACGTACGATATTCTAGGACCTCCTGTCGTGGTACCGGTACGGTATTCCGGCCGGGGGCTCTCGAAACCCTGTCTGCCTGCCGCTGTCAACTTCGTATCGTGCTTGTACGATGATACTATTCTATCGTGATGGGATTTTTTTTCTTTTTCTTTCCTCCCCTTCCCCCTCTGAAGGCTTTGCTTTGCTACTACTCGTATAAGTTAGTTTAGCTAACTACTCGTACGAGTATCTCGAGTACGGTAGCTAGACTACTTGTAAATTTAGCTAGTTGTTGATGCTGGGCGTATCGTAGTCCGCTACACTGCTTCTGGCAAGTGCTTCTATTGTTCACGGAGGGAAGGCTTATGTGGGCTTTCTAACGTATCCATATTTTATGTGTTTATTTAGGATATTTGCTTGCCTGCTTTTTTCTTGCGTGTGCGGTGGGTTATAAAAACACGGGTGTTATGAGTAGGTATTCTAGATGAGCTATAAGTATAGTAGGTACGGAATGGCATTATGATAAGGTTGCTACTAAATATTTACATCCCCTGATGGCTCTTGGAGTACTGCCTGCCTGTATGCCTGCCTCTATCTGCTTGAATGGCGGGGTATGGTGTGGTGCGGTAATGCGGAAGTTTTCGTTGGTGTATGCGTAGCGGTGACGGAGGTTGTATGTGTTTGTGGGTGGCTGGCGGCGATGCGATGTAGTTCGGCGGGTGTACAGGTAGAGCGTGTATGCTATAGTATTGTACGGTATTAAGCACTGGTATTCTAGGTTCGTAAAATAAACTGGTCGTTATCATGCATCGGTATGTTTTAGGAGTTCATTGGGCGCTGGGCACCTGTCTCGGGTTAGCGTTTCTTCCTCTTCTTGTAGACGGGATGGAATTATTGGAAGGGGGGGTTATCATGAGGAAATTATCACGGGTCTAGCTGTCTATATGATAAATTTTCCATACAAAAGCTCACAAATGCACCCAATTCCTGAAGTCTATGAAATGTATGACCAAATGTGGAAAAATTCTATAGGAAAAGAGAAAGAAATAAGAGATAGAGGGGGGGAGGAGGGATCAAAAAAATCAAAAAAAAATCCTTTCCGTACCCTTGTTTATCCCAGATACTCTCCACCATCGCGGAAGACATGAGTAGCTATCTGAATCGAAGTGTTTACTTCGATTGCACAAGCATCGTCCGCTAGCGTGCGACTCATCGTCCTGCGGACAGCGGGAGCAGGGTGCATGTGAGTAACCAAAGTCCGCGAAATGGTGAATTGAGTCCTTAGGGGCGAATAATCCAACCCTGGAATCACCCTGTCAGACGGAGGGATATCACAGGACAGGATAGGCGGAGGGGGGTTAGACAAACCCAATAGAGTGAACAGGGGCATCGCCCCATCGCTCGTAAAAGAAGCCTCCCGTGCTATCCAAGAACTCAAAATATCTAGAATAAGCCTCACTACGATAAAATTCTAAGGAAGCAATCTCGAAATTGCTCCAAAAGTGACAGAGATTGTAATTCCCGTTTCCGAGATGCTTGTCACCGGGTTTTGACGGTTGCGCTCCGTCGACAAGGAAGTCCAGGGAGTTGTTTGCGTGGAGGAATTGACTGTTTTCCGCCACGAATTGTCTCGTTCTGTCCCAAAGTGTCGTGATGGTGTCCTTGAACTCGTACATGCTAATCACGAAGCCGTATATTTTCTTGTTCTCCCGCATGAAAGTGAACGGGTCGCTGCGAATAAATTATTAGTTGGGTTGTTTAATAGCGGGAGCTTTGCCGCTTAGGAAGTTGGGAGAAATTCCACTCACTAATCGATGTCGCAGTAGAGCTCGATTCCGGGCTCAACACGCCAGTACCAATCATACTTCCTCATAACCTCTTGATTGTAAAAGAATCCCGAGTTAAATCGGCACATGTGTCTGAGCGTCCCGGAATCGTTAGCTGCAGCCGGTGCGGGAGGGGGAAAAGCTTGATTTGGGACATACCGATAAGATAAGGAACCACCGTAGATGATCTCTTCTTCTGCCATCCGCACCATTTCTGCTGCCATAACTGTTTTGTTGACATGATCCGGGACCGACCAATCATCCTCTGGGACAACCGCGTATTCAACCGGGCCACTGGCGAGCCCGGATGTGTACTTGATGAACTATCGTGAGATCAGAAACCAGGCCAATTGTGAGCGAGCGAGAGCCTTCACTTACGTCGTCGGTGAAGGGCCTGTCATTGAGGAAAGTCCATGGGTAGTGGAATCGTCTATTAAACCTATCCTCAACCATCCTAATGGAAGACAAGGCCCCGTCAAGCTCACTGTTCCTCACGAGCATCACCAACGTCGCCTTCTCCGTTCCATTCTGCCCAGTGGTGGTGTCGTAACGAGTCGCGCTCGAGGGGTCATCCTCCGGTTCAGTTGTATCCGTCCGATAGCGAGGCTGACCCGCAACCCCCAGTGCCTGAACCTTCTCCAGTCGTCTCCGCAGCTCGGTGCTGTATGCAACATTGTAAAGCACCACGCAAATCGAGAGTAAACTGAGGATGCGCAGGGATAGTCTACGAGTGAAGAATCGCGCAGAGATTCGGGAGCCTGCGTCCGGACACTGCCAGAGGGGTTCTGGAACCATTACAGCTGCGGGAAGGAAGAGAGCCAGAGTTGCAAATTACTGGGCGGAGGATGAGTGCGGGGGCTTGTGTGAACTTATGGGATGGGGTCTAATTAGCGCGTGCCGCGGTATTGTGCTCGTACCATGCATCCAAGTATGATACTGTGCTACCCCGACTTTGCCCTCGTAATACGGCACCCTACGGCAAAGTGGTCGTAATGGTAGGGCGGGCGCGGTGTTGTCTGCAATATAGTACTCGAGTCGGGTGTAATGGGGTTGTAACTTGGGTGGGGTTCTGTTGCGCTTCTGTCTAGTTCCTTCCTCCTTTTCCGGTTCTACGAGTAGGTTTGGAAATGGAGTGTCTATATAATAAGGAAGAGGAGGAGAAGGTCTTTGGGCTCTTTACCGTGCCCCCCTCGAAACCAGAGCGAGCGAGCGGAAGCCGAAGCGCTCTGCTCGTACTACTCGAGTACGAAATGCGAAAAAAGACGGACGGCTGTCCCCTGCTAGAATAGCCAGAGGACGGCGCCAGCTAATGGGGAGAGGTCTACCCATCCATACTGGTATCAGAGGAGGTACGCTCAAGCACCGCACCAATATCTCTACGGACTGTCAAACTCGTCCTGGCCCTCTTCGTGCTTCTTAGGAGGGAGGCTGGGCAAATTGGCTCTGCAGGAATCACCGCACGGAACGGGCGATGAAACCCAATCTTCTCCAGCTCAGAAAGCTACCCATGGATCGGTTGTTCGGGGAGCAATTGGTTCCAAGCCGATATTACAAAACTTCTAACCTAGCATCATTATCACTATACTCGAGTACTCGAGCACTGCCTGGGCCAAAACGGTTGCATCAGCTAAATCTGTTCCCCCCCTCCATTCAGGGAATCGAATACAACACCACGACGCGCGTCTGCATTTCCCGCCCGCCCACCATACTGTAAGGAGTAGCCCTCTCCAGACTCTTACCGCCTTGGTCTGTTGCCGTAGGGTACCTCCTTGGCTGCAGTAGCTACCGGTAGTCAGCGTCCAGCACTGCGCTCATGTCACAATGTGCAAAGACCCGAATCCAGTATGATCTGACATATGACGAGAGAACTTGTTCGCCCTCCCGGGACTCTCACCGGGGAAAATATAAAAATAAAGCAAAATTAGGGATCGGCTTCGAAGGGGGGGGTTAGGATGTATTCGTCACCTTATCAGGGAACTGGAATCAATCCAGGGCTTGTTCGTCTCAGATCATGTGAGGAAAGCTCTAGCTTCATCTTTCATTGCCTTACCCAGTCTGTCGGGCTTGTTCCGATGTCTTCTTCTGCTTCCTCCGTGGATCTACCGGCTGTGCAAGTACCGTACGAGTATGATACCCTATAATTCCGTGAAATCCACCACCTCCGACCGCCCATCATCCCGCTGTAGGTTTAGTTTGGCAGGTTAGGAATTGCGAATACCGGTTAGCAAGATCCAACACGCCTAACCAGCAGATACTTTACTATATCAGGGGAACCCCGATCCTTCTAGAGCGGCGGAGGTACAAGTAGTGGATTCCACGAGGTTTTGCAAGTACGGTACTTATAGCACTCGTACTGTACAGTACTGCGCTCGACGAGGCTCGTTATGATACAAGTGCCGGTAACCCTTGGGCTGCTAGGACTGTAAAATTCCACCGGGAAAGCTAATCCTGTTTTGGGGGCATTCGAGTATCGTGATTCGTTGGCAATTAGTGGTTGCCAAGGCGCTGAACCACTTGGACATCGAAACGTCTCGGTTGGTAGCTTGGAAGAATACTCGAGTAGCTAGCGGGGTACTGATCCGGACTCGGTGTGCCTGGTCACGGATTTTACTGCTTCGGACCGTCCAAGGGATAGTGGTTGGACTTCGGAAAATGTAATCACCTTGAGAGAGTTAAATGCCGGTGTTCGGATACACTCTGCCAATGGAGCACGTAACGTCCCCCTTACCAACAAATCCAATTGCGCCGCTCTGAGGGTTCTGAGAAATTGGCTTTTTCCCCCTAGTTATTATCCCACAACAGTGGAGGGGGCAAACGGACTCCCGGAGACTAGACACTCCCCGGATTGCCAGAATTGGCCTCTGGTTCACGGGGTTTTAACTGCAGCAACGACAATGGCGGAGCGCATACAGAAGCCCCGGAGATAGTGCTATATCGCATCGACAATGGCGTGGAACCGAGGAATGGTATGGTACTGCTCGAGTGGTAACTGTAGCTCGAGGCCCGAGTAGTCACGACCAAGCTCAGCCCAGCGGGGTGTATACGTGTAGGATTCCCGGGTATGGCGGAACGTCAACTAACCCCCCCCACCCCCGGTGGCGCACGACCGCGGAGTCTGTTTTTCCGGATACAAGTGTTCCTGACAGAGTTGAACTCTGTAGAGCTGCGTATCATACGAGTACTGTAATTTCTAGCCCTGTGGGTTTGGCCGATGTTCCGCCATACCCGGAAATGCGCTACCAGGCTACCGTGTCGTGGAAGTAAAATAGTCCTGTTATAAGTATTAGTAAACATTTTCGGCTAAAGCTATATTGGTGGTATGATATGTAAGTTATCGTTCATGCAAGCAGTTTTCATCCAGGGCTTGGTCCTGCACTTAATAGTCTGAGTTAAAGTTGCCGATTCGTGATCTCAAATCACAGGGTTGCGGTTTCAAATTACAATCACGGCCTCCCAAATGTCCCACTCAACAAGGCTTTGGACCACCACATGACTTTAAGCTACGGTACTTAAGTCACCAGGAGCAGCGTCTCGATCACGGCGAGTGGTGCAAAACGATGCGGTAGAAAACGATGTCTTGATCTCCCTTTTGGACGCGTTGGGGTCCTCGGAGCTATTCATGGAGCGATCTACACTACCTGGTGCGCCCCTTCCTCTGGCTTCACGGCTCCAAGTTCCGACGTGCTCTAATCCATCTCCGGTAGCACTTCTGGCTACGTGAATACAAATTATACTCGTGCTTCTCAGCCAAGATTTGGCACCCCATTTGTCCTAGTGTGTGGCACAAGTCCTCGTCCGCAGAAGGGGTATAGCTTTCGAATAGTGTGTAGCTAGTTCTAAGCTAAACTCTTCTGAGGGAATCACCGGAGCCGAATGCCGTAAGTTGGGAAAAAAACAGAGAGTTAGGTGGCCCAGGTGATGGTATAGCTGTGCACCATTGGCATGCTATACCGCTTCAGTGGAAAAGAACTGGTGCCACCCGCTAGGGCAAATTGGGTGCCAAATCTTGGCTGAGAAACACGAGTACAGCTCATTTGATAAGTCCTCCTTCGACTCATTCTAGTGCTGACAGACACCTATAGCAGCAGGCAGGAAAACAGCTCAGTTGGCTGGATTAATTTAAGAAAAACTCTCAGCACCAGTCTCCCTTTAGTTCGCCGGAAATTCCGAAGGGAGGAAGAAACACATGAGGTAAAAACTCTATAAAAAAATTCCGCAGACCTTTTTTTATCTCCTTAGCACTAGGTTCGAGAGTGGAGTACCGTAGCCTGATCCGAGCAGCTGGAGCCACATGGCACAGGCGCAGTTGCGCTCAGAAGACCACTTTCCGGGACAAGCAAGTTCACTGTCAGATCCTATTTGGTGAAGATATGCTAAGACAGGGGGAAAGGTTGCGGATATATGGGGGGGGGGAAGGGGTGCTGTTTCGGAGAGCAGACACACCCTGGCCAGCGCAGCATCGAGTTGGTCGCTCAGAGAAATTCCCTAAAGAGACTGGAATTCTGCGTCGAGTATATCGTAAGGTAGAGAGGATTCTTGTATCATAGAACCAGAGTACCGATATAGCTTTGTCACCAGCTACCTTATAGGTACTCGTCCCAGGCAAGAAGGATCTGAAAACACGAGTCGTAGGTTTGTATAGGGCTCCCGAATACTCGTACACACAGGTTTGTTGCTATATATCTCTGCGAATGCCTGTTTCCGGATATCATACTTCTTGCCTGGGACGGGTACGGCAGTCTTGTCTCTTGCTGACGCAGCCTCATGCCATTTGATCAGTGATGTTGACATTGCTTTGCTATTTCCCATACTTACTCGAATGTACCGTGATGGCCGAGTTTGTAGTGAGAAATTTCAGGTAGGACATCCTTACGAAAGAATCAAATTGGAACATACTATATCCGCGAAACCAATCATTTCTTGACAATCAGTAAGGCGAAAACATAGAGCTTACGTTGGCGTGTGCGGATGATATTGGCACAACAACTCGTGGGGAGAGTTGACACCATCTCTCTCAACACCACTCGTGCACCTTGCAGTGCTCGGGTACTCGAGTACAGCCTCAGGAGAACTGCGGCCACTACTAGTGCCAGAGTTGTCTGTATTGCCACATCCAGGTTGTGTTGGAGCCCTAGGGCCCTCCCTTTGAAGTCTGAGATGAATCGTTTTAACTAATCTATCGATTTCTGCTTCTCCTCAACCGCTCCAACCAACCCTCAGACCTCGCGCTCCGGAAAGTTTACTCTAAGCAATAGATTGCTGCCTGGGTGACCCCGAAAACCACGATCTACAGTGCGATGCATTGGGGTATTATTATCATTGAAAAATGGAAATATAAGCCTATAGTGCCGCGAGTGTATACGGTAGTCGAGAAAGCTCACAGGAGAGGACTGGGGAGGATAAGAGCGTAGGACGGGGGATTGATTCCTCAATTGGATTGAAGTTAGGGGCCCGAGAAGGTGCTGGAGTATGCAAACGCCCTGGCAGCGGAGGAGTAAATTTGTCACCACTTTTTCATGCCGTGATCATACAACCGCTTGACGCTCGTTAACTTGTACATCCCCTGCCGGCCCCTCGCCCCGAGGGTACACCCAGTACGGGTTTTCAAAGAAAATATTCCGTGTTTGGCGGAAATGATGATCGGTATATATATAAGTTAGCTCACACCGGTCAGGCTCTGTGCAATGCTTTACAACCTCAATAGATCATCTGGAAAGGAGGGGTGAAAGAGGGTATTGTGCCAACGAATAAAACTAGGGATGATACTGAAATACTTGCAGTGAAAAGTCTACCGATCCTAGGGGCGCGGGAGGAGGGAAGCAGACCCCCCCCCCGGGCTCCGGGGATATGTTAATCCCAGGAGTTTCATACAGGGGCCTTCGTATAGTGAATCCGTATCGACAAGCTTCTGTCATATTGGCGGGACCCCCTATATTATCAAATCACTACATCCATACCCCAACGTTTACAGGCACTTAATGAGAAACACCGGCAGATGTACAGTACAGTATGCTACCTAAATCAATTCAATTTACCCTATACAGCCAAGGATATTCAACGCAATTGAGTCCTCGGGCTCCCTTCATAAATATGACCCCTATTTTTATTTTTATTATTATTTTTCATTCTCCCCTTACCATTTTCCTTCGTCACCCTCACAGCTTCTCACTCGTATCAAACCTCTGCACTGTACCAGGGCCTGGCACACAGTAACCCTTAATCGACATAAGCTTATGGGAAAGTGCGCAACGAACACGGCTCCCCAGGATAAGCTTCCTGGGGCCTGGTTGGCAGGGCACGGGTATTATGCTGGGCGCTATATTATCTGTCACTGGATTAGCGCGCGTTCCCTCCCGTCGCGTTCCAAGCATCTGGTAGGACTGAGCCGGTGCCACTAAAACCTAGGCGACGTACGATACCGTTCAGAATACCCAACGGAAAAGGGCTTAAGAAAAATTACTAATTTACTGGAGCTCGGGAGCGTAGGGGCGTTAATTTGATCGGCTTGTATTGTAATAGTTGCTGAAGTATACAGGGTACTTGTAATTAATCGTGGTACCGTAAATAGGATGGATCTCTTTCCTCATTTTATTATATACTGAAATATTAGGTGGATGCTTGAGGGCTGCTAGAATTATAGAAGAAAGGAAAGAGAGTATTTGTATAAAGTGTTTGTCTTTAATGCGTGGCTTTCCGGATAGTATTAGGGTCACTATATCCCTACTATCACCTTCCCGGAAACTTCTTCCCTCCGCGACTCGGAAGTAGGGGTTGCTTTGTCCGCCGAGAATCAGAAGAGCAGGCGCTCGCTACCACGCTCAAATAAGGTTTTATATCCTCGCTTTGTTTTGAAATCGCAATAACTTAGAAGCGCTAGATCCTATCTCTTTATGGTCTGGTCTAAACCTTCCAGGACACCGATTTTGACGCGATTGCAAGTTTCACGGCGGCCGCTTATTATCTCAACGTAAAAGTGTCTGCTGGGTCTCGCTAGCTAATGTGGTATAATATCAGTACTGGTATAGCTCGGAACTCCAGCTACAGGGCACAGTAATGGGGCATGCGGTCAAAGAATCATGTAGTATAAGAAGGGAGGGAGGGACGCGGAGCGGAAAAAAGAAGGGGAGGATAACCTATTGTATATGTCATAGTGTTACTCGGGTTTAGGAAGTATATATTGGGAATGGACTTGTTGGTACCTATTACTTCTCTGAAACACTATCAGCTATGTCTACAGTTAACTATTTGCCACGATATTCCTGAAAACCTGGACATCTAAGGATAATGTACTTGGAAACAATCAGAAAAAAACAATTCTGACAATGGGATTATGGGAGTTCTTACCTTACAAGAGATTCCCAAAATTTGTGAATAATCAAGAGCCATAAGCCAAATTATGATATAAGGTTGGTTTTCCTCCTTTTTTTTTTTTTTTTGATAAATTTCCTGTTCTGTAGATATCTCAAGCTTACTATTACTTTGGGTAGCATACAAGTACTATGAAAGTACTATCAGGGTTTTTATTTATTAAGGGCCTGTTTGGATGTCCGGTGATTGAAATCTATGAGATTGGGGATCCATGGATTGAAGAACAGAAATCAAGAGATCAGAATTTATTTTAGTAGTGCCAAGTTAAAAAATATTATTGGTGGAAATTTTATGTACAAGGGCAGGCTTAAAGTGGGATGTGTTGCATGAAACCAAAGACTTAAACACTGGTGAAAGAAATAATGTTGCACTCGCTTCAGTGCAATCTCTGGAATTTTTACCTCCAGAGGTAAAACTTGAATCTCAGGGATTACAGGGATGTGACAGGGATTACAATCGCTGAGAAGTGGACAACCAAACATGCCAAATATTGAGATTCTCAGAGATTGCCAAGAAACTCAGTATTGTGTTACAACCACCAAGAATCTCCGAGTCTGTAATATCATGGACATCCAAACAGGTCCTAAGAGAAATAGAACTGAGCAGTTACTAAAAGGCTTGGTACAGACATGAATACTAGGTGTTTAAGACTCTCATCATACTAAATGCTATATCTTTAGTCCCAGAGGGAATAGTATTTTAGTTTATATCTTTGATGGATAGAATTATGGGCTGATTATCAATATAATGAGAATCATACCAACTAGCTCTATTTCTATAGTTTTGAGGTTGAAAAAAATTTGAAAAAATACAACAGTATCATACCAGCAGTTACTATTCAACTATTGTTTTGTTTTACAAGAGTACCAGTATTATGGGCAGATTTATCGCACCTGAAATCATACACATCCACTCCTGAATAGAGGTACCGGTATCATACTATTTTTTTTTCTCCTCATAAAACTACAAGTATAATATGACGTGGGCCAAGACATCGCGGTCGGCTAAATTTTTTTTGTTATGATACCAAGGCCCTAGTATGGCCTGATACCCAATTGGGAACACTGTTAGTCATAGTGTCCATAAAAGGACTAGCACGAAAATGAGATCCATGTTTTCTGTCTGCTGGCGTCCTGTGCCTTCTTCCTTCCTTCTCCTTCCTCCACCTCCACACCCCACTCCACATTCGACCATCCATCACCTTACAGCCATTCCCATCCTGCATCCTTTCCACCCCTAAAAAAAAAATCAAGCTGTCGCACGGGTGTCAGCATTACTGAAAGCTTGGCTTGCTATCGATAACCGAGAGCAAGACCGACAATAAAATACTTGCATTGTTCTTTCTCTCGTAGGTTCCTCATTCTTGACTCGAAAGCTCTTTTCTTGTGTTCCTTATTTTTTGCGTCCCCTTCCTCTGCGTCTCCCCCCTCTTTTTTTTTTTTCCTCAAGCGATCTTGGTGTCACACTAGTGTGAGTCACGAGGAGTTAGTCACTCTACGCGCAACGACGCGTCACCCCGCAGGCCACCAAGGTAGAAAAAAATATTTAAGGAGCCGGTTTCCTTTCCTTCTCCTTTCCTCCCTTATACCCCATCATCCCCTACACCTCAAAAACACAATTTGCCTTACCTTGGCTGAGCATTAACAGAGATAAGCTCTACAGGTACATTAGACTTTGTTCTGAGTTGCGAGAACTTCAACTACTGTCAACCAACCCAAACTTCTCAACCGTCAAAGTTAAAAAAAATCATGGTCCAACGTCGAAAGATTGAGGAGTTTCGTGATCGTAGGTCTGGGAGGGTTACGAAAAATCAACGCTCTTCTGCAGCCGTTGGAGCCTCCAGTGCGGCGGGGCCCAGCACATCCCGTAATACTTCTGCCACCAACCGCGGCGCTCAAACCGGGTCCGAGGATAATGATGATGAAATTGGTCCTGGTTTGAGGGATGAGGCTGCTGCGAGGCTCTTGCAGCGGCGTTCTAAGCGTAACCCTGTTGTAGCAAGGTACGTTTACATTGAAATTACATTAGTCTTTCACACAGAAGTGTGCGGCAGATGTTGAAATTGAAGATAAAAGTTATATACTAATTTGTTTACTGAATTTAGTAATCGTCAATCTGAAACCACTCACTTCTCTAGCAATCGTGTTATATCACGTAGTGATCTTATCGCTCTATCGGTCCATGGGGATACAATTGCAAGAGTCCTGAAGAAGCCTAGCCCTAATGCGGCAGACTGGCAGACCATTAGAGCAGCCCTTCACAAACTTCCATTCGAGAATGTGGACCAGAAGATTGTTCGTTCCTCCGGAGTTATGAAGCAGCTACTCAGAATTGAGGAAGGTGGTTTTGATATCCCGGAGGATATTTGCTTGGACGCTCAGATCATTCTTAAGAAATGGAGGAATGGGGACTACGACCCCCACTTGCTTCGCGGGGTTGATCTAAACCAGACCGTTACTCGTGTTGGGGGAAGAGGTGCGAGGAACGTTAAACGTACTAGGCACTATAAGCTTGAGGAGGATTATAATTGGAAGAGAGATGATAATGTGGAGGGGAATCATGATTTGTTTGTTGGTGAATGGTGGCCCCTTCAGATCTGTGCTTTGAGAGATGGGGCTCACGGGGAGTTGGAAGCGGGTAAGCCTAACTTTATATTGTTTCTACTCTCTGTTCCTTTATTAACCTGCTTTATTTTTTTCTACAGGTATCTCTGGCAATAATACTCTCGGCGCGATCTCCGTTATTGTCTCGGGTGGTGCTCTTTATCCAGACCTCGATGAGCTTGACAGAGTTCTCTATTGCGGCACCATGGGGATTGAGGCTCCATTGAATTATGTAGCCGAGTCGGGCGAGGATCTTGAGCCCGGTGACCGTATTCCGTCTCATAACACTAAGCTCTTGATGATTTCGTACAGGAACGGAACTAAAATTCGTCTCTTCCGTTCGGCCAAGTCTCAATCGCCATACGCACCTGCCGAAGGTCTTCGTTATGATGGCCTCTATACTATTCGAGCGTACGAAATACTCGATAAAAAGAACGCTGTCTATCGTTTTGAAATGATTAGGGAGAACAATCAGCCAGCAATTCGTGGCGACCCTGACGATCCTGGCTGTAAGCCCAACAAAGTCGAACTCGCGAAATGGCAAGGAATCAAGAAGACCTTGAAAGGAGAAAGATAAATTGGCGCTTTTGTTGCTGGATTGTGTCTATCTCCATTTCCCGCGTACTTCGCTTTCTTTCACCTCTTACACGCATGTCTTTTTCTTTCTCCTACAAAGTTTCTTCTTTCAACCCTGTTTACATTTGCGAGATTTTGTTGCCTGATTTGGATTGAAATACCGATCCATGATGATGATGATTAATGTCCTGAGATGATACCTATCCTTTGGATCACTGATCCGGCTGTTTGTTGCTTACTTGTCTGGCTAATTCCTTCCGAGCTTGTTATAATAATCTTGTACGCTCGAGTTAGATGTTTTCACATTTGTCTTTTTTTTTTTTTTGTTCCTCTTTCCTTTCAGTACTCGCTATTTTTCTTGTTTTTCTTGTTTTTGTTTTTTTGTTTTTCACCCGGTGCCCAGTATTTTTCCTTGAGTATTTTTTTCTTTTCCCCTCCCCTCTTCCCCTCCATACGCCACCACTTTCACCAATGCCTGGAACCTGATATACACGGAGGAAGGGAGGAAGGGAGGTGGAGATGAAACGTTGAAGGTCAAATCAGGGAAATTTTGCAAGTAGCTTAGAAATCAACCTTTTTTTTTCATATCATTTTTTTTCAAAATTTATCCGTATTTCTCGGAAGTGATCTCCATGCCGTATATCCCGTTGCTGTCCGTCTGACCGGATGCTGTTGGTAGGATATATCAGTGGGCGCCTGCGACTACATGTAAGAATGTAGTGATTTGATTAGGTCTTTAAAAGTGTTATGACTTAAGCAAACTAGTCAGGTCAAAGTCGGTATAAGGTAACAGACCTTGTAGGAGTATATTGCCTTAGAAAAAGATACAACTTTATATCCAATACCCTAGTAAAGTATTACTAACAAAGCCTACTTGGTTAGTAACTGGTATGAAAAACCCATATCTAATATAACAGAAAGTTTTAGTTAGTATTATGCTACTACATAACACTTTTAGAGTTCTAGTTATAGAGGACTATACTTTAAATTATTCTTCAGACAAAAATATAATAATTTCTCTTGTAATAGTAATCATATCACTTTTATTAACAATAGTATAACAAATATTAGAGATTATAAGGTTTGTGTTTTGTTGTATATATATGATTTGATTGGGTTATATAATAATATTATTATAAGTTTTGTACTATGGCTTATATATGAGTTATAGGATTTTCTGTAACTCACAATTATAAGTTGTAGTTATATTATAATTAACTGATTTAAGGAAATAGTACATTAGTGTTAAGAATCCTGCCAGGCACTAGGGTACGACAGGTAATGATTCTTAATGCGTAGCAAGGGAATAGTTCTTAGACCGATGCCTACGCGATATGGATAGTCAAGTCCCTTTGATTTCTATCTTATCGCGCCTATTTCCTCCGATCTTTTTAAGTCCTTGCTTAGGACTTAATCATTTGATGTGGGAGGAGAAATAGTTTTCTCGCTTGGAGGAAAGATAATTCTCTGGTTTCTTAAGATAAATCTTAAAGATTGTAAAGATAGGTTTTATTGTAATAACTTTAAAGATAGGAAATAAACAAGAAGAACGTGTGAAGAGCTAATACTCGGGGTCCTAGTGACCCTTTATATAGTAGCTCTTCATCTGGCGTGACTCATACTTCGTGTCACGTGAACCCTGTGACTCATAATCATGAGTCATGTGAAATCCATCAGCCGACTCCTATGAGTTGCTGCGCAACATACCTAAAACCAATTAGAACATTGTAACGTGTTCGCACCGGGGTGCTAATCACGCTTCCGGGTACAATAGGAGTAGCGCACAAGTTGATCTACAACCTATGGGCGTACTGCGCTAAGGGAGGCTCCGAGAGAAAGATATAAAAGATAGGGACTTGAAGGGGTAACCGTTCAACCAAGTATATTAGAAATACTCTGTCCGTCGAAGTCTGCTGTTTCTCTAAGGGATTCAGCAGTCTTTAAATACAAGCTTCGTCCATGTCCTGCATGGACGGATTTCCAAATCATCCTTGAGCAACCCATAAAACAAACTGAGTATCAATGGATACTCGAAACCACAAATAAAACAAACTGAGTATCAAAGGATACTCGAAACCACAAGTAAAACAAACTGAGTATCAAAGGATACTTGAAACCACAAGTAAAACAAACTGAGTATCAAAGGATACCCGAAACCACAAGTAAAACAAACTGAGTATCAAAGGATACTCGAAATCACAAGTAAAACAAAACATAAAATAAATCCTTGAACCGAACGGACTGAACTCCAGTTCCGGTTGCAAACATAATAACCAAGTCAGGTGCGCAACTTGCGTCACCTGAGTGAAACCCATAACTCATACATTGAGTCATATGTGAAAGTCCTAATATCGTGTGACTCACAATTGTGAGTCATGAACAGGTAAATATAATAACCTATGGCATACTAGTGTGTGTCATGTGAAATCCAAACATACCTATAGCTCGATATTCCGAGCTATGTAAAATCTGCCTTGCTTAGTCACAGTTTGTGACAATTAGTTTATATAAGTATAAGTTATAAGGATTTTATTGTACTATACTAGTAGCTTGCATATGAGTTATGAGATTTCATGATTTATAATTATTAGTGTTATGAATCATAGCTTAGTAAAGATATGGTTTCACATGACTTAAAGTTCTGAGTTATAAATATATTATCTTTTGTACCTGACTCACTTAGAAGTCATAGGGTTTTTATATGACAGTAACTCATACTTGTAGTAGTATTATTATTATGGTGCAAGAACGAATATGTGTGTACCTCATTTTAGGATGTTTTTAATGGCACATAACCTATCAAATAATAGTTCAGAGAATATAAAAAAACCGTAGAAATATAGACAAAGTGAAGCAGAATAAAAGTACAGTTTTTTTATAATGTAAAAGCAAGTAGAATGAATGGTATCCTGGTTTAAAAAGCTCAAGATTTTGGTGTAGATTCATGGTCTTGGCATCAGAATGCAACATTAAAAGATGACTAATCTGGTGATCTTGGATATAATTTATGCCAGGTATAAAGAATAAGAAAAAATACTACCAGGACAACACATACAGCAACAGAGAGCAATAAAATCAATATGGCTGGAATCAAAAAACGAAGACAACAAAGCCGGACTGCTGGTCGTCTTGGAGGGCGACCTAAAAAACTTGAAGCAGATTCTCAAATCTCTCAAGGCTTAACTCTATCAGACATAGTGATTAAGAAGGGGCCACTTACTGAAGGTAAATCTCTATTCAATTATAATTCAAAGGATTACTTTTAGTAGAAGTTAACTAATAAATTATAATAATTCTTAGTAGAAGATAAAACTGTATTCCGGACTGGAAGAGGAGGAAAGACTCCTTGTCGGCAAACAATTTGGAGACGAAAAAAACAGGCAGAGGTTCAACAAAGCTTGCATATACTCAGTACAAATAAGAAGCAAGAAAGAGAGGAACTTGAAGAGGAACAGGTTCAAAAGAGGACAGAGGGAGAGGATCAGCAAGCTGGACTGAGGGAGCAGGGAAGACATAATGGCTTAGCCGAACAGGAAAGGCAGGAGCTGGAGGGTATGATAGAACTAAATGGATGGGAGGAGCAGGAGAATGTGTTAGGACTTCATAGGCAGAAAGGGTGGAGAAGAGAGGAGGGGCAGCAGGGGCAGGAGGAGCAGGAGGGGCGGGAGGAGCAGGAGGGGTGGGAGGGGTGGAAGGGACAGGAGAGGTGGGAGGAGCAGGAGGGGCAGGAGGAGCAGGAGGGATGGGAGGAGCAGGAGGGGGAGGAGGAGCAGGAGGAGCAGGAGGGACAGGAGGGATGGGAGGGGCAGGAGGGGCAGGAGGGGCAGGAGGGGCAGGAGGGGCAGGAGAGGTGGGAGGGGCAGGAGGGGCAGGAGGAGCAGGAGGAGCAGGAGGAGCAGGAGGGACAGGAGGTAGAAGAGACAAATGAAAGGAATAATCTGGATGAAGCTATTAGAAGCTGGCCCATTTTATCCCAGCATCAAACTGCGCAATTTAAGTATCGAATTCTCACCAAAGGTATGTATATTTTACACAGAAGTACTATACAAGTTAGTATAAAATACAAATAACTTAGCAATTTTTAGGAATCCATGATATGCGAAAGCGGCTAAACTCCAAGCGTAATAAACTCAAAGGTCAAGATCTTATTTATCACATCCAAGTTCTAGAGTTTCTTCGATTTCAACGATATGGTTTACATAAACCATTCTGGAAAAGATCCCGCCAGGAGGCAGCAGCAATAGTTGCGGCTACAGGAGGTCAGGGAAGACGTGTTCGTGACCGGATCATCCGAAATGAAAAGAATTGGATTCGTAACCGCTATGTCCCTTCATCTCTTCAGGGCAAGTCTCCAATCATACACCGCCTGATTGATGATGAAGGTACAAGACTTGCTCTTAGAGAATATCTCGCAGGGGCTGGTGAGAGAGTTACTGGACAAAGTGTTGCCCATGCTATCTCAACATATTGGCAAACTGGAATTCTCCCCTTTGAGGAGCAGCCTGAGTTAAAAAACCCACCACCACCATATACCGCAGAAACCAAAGCTCAGTTAGCTGCACTGGCTGAGCAGAGAGTTGAGATTAAAAAATCATTAAGCTGTCGAACAGCTGTGAAATGGCTCCAGGAGATGGGATATAAATTTCGTGATGTAACCAAAGAAGTTTACAAGGATGGCCATGAGCGTCCAGATGTTATTTCCTATAGGCAAGAGCACTTCTTGCCTGCCCTCCAGGCCTTGGAAGAACGTATGGTACATTGGGAGCTTATCGCTACAGAGACAGGTGAGGTCTTACAGAAGATATATCCATCAAACCTACCCCCAGGAGTAAGACCTATTGTACTTGTTGTACATGATGAATTAACCTTTAATGCCAATGATGGCAGGTCAAAGATTTGGATCAAAGATGATCATATGCCTCTAAGGAAGAAAACTCGTGGAAAAGGTATAATGGTTTCAGATTTTCTCACCCCTGGGGGACGATTAAGAGTACCTGAAGATGCAAACCAACCACCTATCTCGGACTATGGAACAGCCAATAATGGTCCCAAGCGTCTTGATTCCTCTCTTGCTACCTGCTCAATTGAATATGGTGGTGACATCTGGTGGGATGGTAATCAACTGGTTGATCAGGTTTTGAGAGTGGCAATCCCTATCTTTGAGCATGCTTTTCCTGGTTGTCAGGCCTTATTTATGTTTGACAATGCAACCAGTCACTCTGCTTATCCACTGGATGCACTAAGAGCCTGTTCAATGAATTTGCACTCCGGAGGAGCTCAACCACCACTTAGAGCTGGTATAAACAGCTTAACTGGTGAAATTCAAGCTATAGTGAAGCCAGATGGTATACCAAAGGGATTGCAACTAGTCTTGCAAGAGAGAGGTTTATGGCAGCCAAGATTGCGAGTTCAATGTCGTCACCCTAATGGGAAATTAAACAAGCAGTGTCTCAATGGGGGCACATGTTGTGCAAGAGCATTAATTGCTCAAGAACCTGATTTCAAGGCCCAAAAGAGCCGCTTGGAAGAAGAGGTTCAACTAACTGGTCATCTAGTCCAATTTTTTCCCAAATATCACTGCGA